GTGGAGGTTTACATTTCATGGTACTGCTTGAATGGATTGGGAACAGCAAGGAGGGACTTTTTTGTGATTGATTTGTTAGTCTTAACTCCTTACAAAAACTGTTAGTTAGGCAGAAAGTTTCCTTGCTTAACGTAAGGGCAGCTTCTTTTGATTGTGTTGAAATTATTATTGATTCTAAAGATACAACCTAAGTAAGGACAAGCATCCATAATCATGTGGGTGAAATAGCTTCTACTTAGTTATAGTAGCTCAGTACACAGAAAATATAGTAAAGTACTAAACCTGATACCCTATTGAATTTTAATTATTATTAATTAATAATTAGTAGTAAGTAAAAGATTAACTGATTACTGACATTGTGAAATAGCCTTTCTGTCCCAGCAACTGGTACCTGGTCTAAACTGGAAAGTTGTTCTAGCACAGCTATTTTGTTAGGAGCATGAGGAAATCATAACTTTTAACCATATGCCTATGCTTGCAAAATTCAAGTGCAGGTGCACTACACTGGAAAAGGAACTCTTTGCTCCTATAAAGTGGGTCTCTACCAGGAGGAGTTTTTGGGAGAACTATACAAATATAGAAATGCTAGTAACTACTTTCTAAGAAAACAAGACCTAAGCGTTAGAGCGGCTTATTCACCCTAGAATCTCATGTCCGTTAGATGCTGCTATGGCAGGGGTCTCAATCTCTTTGTCTTTTCCTCCTGCTTTCCTTGCTGTGGCATATGTCCATCTGGAGACAGACAGCCACTGGTTATGCTTTTCCAACCACTTCCTTTCTCTTGAGCACAGGGCAAAAGGACAGATAGGGCTGTACTAGGAGAGATTGCTCTGAGAAACTTAGGAGGCAAAAGACCTTACTAAAATTATCAGGGCTGAAGTCAGCCTTCCATTCATCCCAAGAAAACAGGGCAGTCATGGAAAAGAGGTAGGATAGGGGTGAAAATGTTACGGGACTAGGAAAAGAATCCAGGTTTAGGATGCTTATTAGTCCTGACCTTGAACTCCCAGCCACTCTTGGGCTGTTCTTGTATGTGTCCTTTTCCAAAGTCTCAGTTCTGAATGTTGTTCACACAATGCAAAACAAAAAAAGAAAAAGGGGAGGGGGAGTCAAACCATCATGATTCTTATTGATGATAGTTTCTATGTACTGATGCAGTGACATAATGTGCTATACAGGAAAAGAACATCTATTTCAGGACATTTTTTTTTCAGTCATTGTGGTCTAGCATGAAATGAAATCTTGAGGAACAGCCTGAAAATTATCTACTTTCAAGCTCTGATAATGAAGACATTCACCAAACAACAACAAAAAATGATATGCACTTGAATGCACACACCAACCTCCAGCTGCGTCCCTCTTATCATCAGCTTATTTGGAGAATTATCTTTGCAGGGTGGGGGAAATTAAGGGTTGGCAGCTATGATTAAATGGAGGAAACTCTATTGAAGAATAACAATGTGTTTTATGGCTTACATTAGTGTGATTGATGGTATCAAAAACCACTGATAATTTGAGCAAAATTAGCATTGAAAGCAGACTCTGAGATTTGGCAGCAAATAATAGAAATAAATGGAAGTCTTGAAGCAGTTTTTGTAGAAGACAGTGGTTTGTACGTTTGCAGTGAGAGGTTCTGAATTACTTTCTGACCAAAAGTGATGAAAGACTGTTGTATTAATGCAACCTTGGTCTCAAGTCAACCAGAAAGTGTACTTGTATTCTGATAGTTCAGCTGCACAACTGTGTCCAAGGCTGGAGAACTATGCCATATCTTGGTTCTTTCAGATTAAAACCACTTGGAATCAGCACCACTTGAATTGTTTTAATTCATCCATGTTAACTAATGGGTATAACTACAATACTAGAGACTCCAGTTCTTTCCTGTGGATTGTTTTATTGTCATGCTGTTTCCATGATTTTTGTTTGGTGGGGCCTGTTCTCATGGCACACTCCCTAGCATGCTCCAGTGTAGTATATGCATACCTAAGTTAATAAAAGTTTAACATAAAGATGTGGCATTAAGGAGCACAACTTCAACTGGCCCTCCATGCTGCAGATCTATTATGCATCCTATGAAATAAAGTTATTTTGCTTGCAATAAAGCCATGCAATGAACGGCAATTTAAAAGTTATACAGGCTTTATTTACTATCCAACCAGGTCATTTCAATGGATTTTCTAAACATATTAAAATTGAATTGTGCATGCTGCCTACTGTGCATATTGTGTATAAAAACACATTTCCCTGGTTAAACACAGTCCCACAGTTTACAAGGTTTTGGCCATGATTCTCTCATGTATCCAAGGTCTGTGGGAACACAAAATGTGGCATTATTTCAGACCCATATTTTGTGCCATCCCACAGAGTATGAACCAAAGTATTTTAGAGTCTGCTATAACTTAAGTTGCTGAGAGGATCCCCTAAGGATGTTGTACCAGTGGAGGATGGGAGAGTGGAGCAAAGTCTCTTCTCTCCCTGGATGTTCTCTACAAGAGCATACATATGGATGACTCAAGAGCCCCCTCTACCAGTTTTGCACCTGGAGAAGTCCTCAACTGGTAAATTATGGACAGTTGTGAGTCCACTTGCACCATCAGAATAGTGTTAAGCATCTGGCAACAGAATGAAAAAAAACTGACTCTTAATTTCGATAAAGTTGCAAAATTCAAATTCAGTGGTACATTAGATATCCAGTGCATTGTATTTACAAAGAAGGGGGAAAGACCAAGGCAATCCTTAATGAGAATTATTGCATCACCAGTTGTCATTCCTTACTCCTAAAATGTGACCTTTATGGTGGCTTATGTCTAAAAATGTGTCCAGTTTTCAAAACATCACTATTAATTACCATCTGTTTTTCTGAGCACCTCTTGACCAGTTTCTTTCTTGGCAGCTGTTTGTTTATTAAAGTGCTTCAAGGTGTACAGGTAGCTTGTGGTCCTACTCAAAGAATTTCCAACCCAGGTTAGCTTGTGAGGATGGAATTGGGGGAAGCCAAGGAGCAGACAACAATAGGGGAATGAGAGTATAGGTGTGTCAGTGATGAGATGTGCATAGACATCTATTTTTATCTAACAAATTTCCTCAAATTATGGAGTTATAGCTTACTTGGTTCTTTCCTTAAATGGTTCAGATTCTAACATGATGGATACAATGTTACATCTGTGGGTCTGGCTAATAAAATATACAATCATTCTCCAAGGATTTAATGTATTTTCTTCTTTCTTTTTCTTTTTTTTACTAGAAGTTTATATTTGCTATACTTTCTAGAACTTGATTTCAGTAGATGTTCTAGGTTCATGTTATGAATACAAAATAGTTACAGTAGAACTGCATTGAAATGGTGTGGCCTAAGGAATGTTTCCCTTAATTGGCTCATGGTCTCTCTAAAACGCAGTCAAATATTGGGGCTGAGAATTCCTAAGCTAATAGAGATCAAGATCAGGAGCATCGCAGCAATAGTTATGTGCTTTAACTGTCAGTGATAAAGGAAAAGAAACCAGGACCCTTTCTTCCTATGGCTTCCCACCATGCATATTTACATTCTAACGTTAACATGGAGGGAACTGAATTGTATGTTCCCAAATGTGGGACACAGAAGAGGGGAGTCATGAGGCTCCTGAAGAGGAATGGAACTACTCGAGAAAGAATGGGTATCAAGCTGATGATGGATGTTGTCTGACTGGAAAAATGCATCAAATATTTCTGGTCAGAGTATAGAAAATTTTAATTGTGCCAAGTTTCAGGTTTTCATTTTTTCCTGAAAACTTACCAGAAAGAAAATGTTGCTGATATATAAGTACTTACATCAGGAGAATCAGAATTGGGTCCTAATATACTGACTACAGATTTCTTTAAAATTTGTTTTCAGATGAACTGCTTCAGAAAGAACAAAACTATTCTGATGATGTCTTGGCCAATATGATCAGTGAGCCCAGGATCAGCTATGGAAATGATGCCCTTATGCCTTCATTGACTGAAACTAAGACAACTGTTGAACTTCTTCCAGTGGACGGAGAATTCAGCCTAGACGACCTTCAGCCATGGCATCCGTTTGGTGTGGATTCTGTCCCGGCTAACACTGAAAATGAAGGTAACATAGGATCTCTTGGAAGAAATCCCAGAATATTTGGATTTGAATATGGGTGCGCCAATAAAGATTTTTTGGCCAATATCGTGGCCAGTTATTAACCAGCCAGATCGGCTGATACCAATCTGATAGCCAATATGCAGCCTGGCAGCTTGGAGAACAGCGTCTGTCCGGTAAGTCTGTGGGAGATGGAAGGGGCATGGGGGAGAGAAGAGGCAGGGGGAAGCAGATTAAGGTCCCCATGGTGAGGGAGGGAGTGGGGCAGAGGCAGAAGCTGCCCATCCAGGGTGGTGAATGCAATCTCAGGAGCACGGCAGACCCACAGGCGGCTCATGCGAGAGGTGGAGAGGGGCAGAGGACGGTTCCCTGCCACTGCACACATCCCCAGGGGAAGTGCAGGGAATGTGTGCCCTGAGATCTATGCACAGGTGATGGCAGGCTGCCTGCTGCAGACTTGGAGCCAGGGGTTGTGTCAGCCTCTTCCAGTGGGGGGCCAGGCTGGGACTGCTTTTGGAGCAGACATGGGCAGGGTGAGCAGCAGCACTGGGAGGAGTGGCTGTGGGGTTGGCTACAGCCACCCCAAAATTCCCAATAGCCTCCTCTCCCAGTGCCACTGCCCACCCCACACCAGCCTACTAGGAAGAGGCAGCCCCTGACACTGAGCCTGCAGAAGGCAGCCTGCCCTCTCCCACACAAATCCAGGGCAGCACACCTCCCCCGCGCCTCCTGCAGGAGTGTGCACAGTGGCGGGGAGCTGCCCACCCTCCCACGCCCCCCAGACAAGCCACCCATGGCTCTGCCCCACTCCTGGGTTCTCTTTCACCACCTTAGCTGGGCAGCACCTGCCCCAGCCCCACTCCCTCCCTCACTGTGGGGGGGACCTCGACCTACCCCTCCACACACACTCTTCCCTACTTTCCTCCCCTTCTCTGCCACAGATATACCATCCAGATGCTGCTCTCCAAGCTGCCCGGCTACATTCCTAGCCGCATGCATGTTGCAGCTGCGCGCGTGTATGCAGCATTTATCAATGGCATTATTGGCTACACCAGTCAAAAAAAACCAATTGCCGATTAATGTTAATTTTCCTTTTATCAGTGCTGATCCAATATGGACCGATATATTGGTGCACCTCTAGATTTGAGTTATGCAGTCATATGTATATGCTTGTTCTGTGAACATCTTTATCTTTTTGGCTTAGGAAAATATGTTAGAAAATAAAATCAGGAAATTGTCTGCCATATTTCCTTAGAGAAACAGAAAGTCCTGACTTTTTCAGATGTATATAATAAGTCTCAGTATTATATTTAGTGGACATCCCTTACTATAAAAATACAACATTTAACTGAGTTGTGAGACCCTGATATAAACTTACATGGGTATCATGTCAGAACTTTGGATTTTTAATAGTGAACATTTGAAAAATAGCTACCAGTTGGTAACAAAAAGAGGGGCATACTTCCCCAACATAATTCTAAAAATAAAACTGTGATTTTTCTGATTTGATATTGCTGAGGTGTTTTTCATGCACTCGCAGCATTTTTCTTACTGGACAGTCACATTTTCTTCTAAAATGTTTTTTATATAGCTCATGGAATAATCAGTTGAGAGGCTCCTATGTGTATGTTTCTAAATTTAAATAATCTGTATACTATCTGAGATAAATTAGTCATTGGGCATTTTACAGGCAGAGCAGTAAAGGGTGGGTTTGTCTGTGTGTATAAGCCATGTTAATGGGAGGCCTGAAGAAATGTTTGCTTTATTAAAGTTTGTTCTTAGTTATATTTGGAGATGAATTAACAAAAGGAATACAAACATCATCAGGTTTGTGAGAGAAACTTATTCAAAATTAATTGAAACAAAAGTGAGCATTTATGAAAGAACAATGTATGCTACTTCTAGATGATTTCTAGTTGTTCCCATAGGCAAGAAAATTGCAATAAGATGTGTGGGGGGAGTTAATTCAGTTTTGGGTTACTGTTTATTTTAATGCAAGCTACAACAGTTTGTTTTGGCATTTCCAATAATTACTTTTATGACCTGTTCTTAAAAGTCCTGAATCATTTTAAAACATTAAAAATAGAAATTATGTGGTGGACAGAAACCTGTTCCCTGGCCTCCCCTCTAGTCTATGCAAATCATAGCAGCTACTAACAATTAGTAGATGGTACTAATGTGATCTGACCTGCAGGTCCCTCGTTTTCTCTGCAGAGCCTTCACTGGGCTCCCCTTAGCCCACTGCATCAAGTTTGAACCTCTCCCCCATCCTCACCTTGTTTCTCTTCTTGAGCATGTTTCTCCCTCCTTCTGTCACTGTTTCACAAGTGAAATCAGCCTCACTATACTGTTTGCGTCCTGTTCCCACTCCCATCTCCATGCCTGCTTCCATATGCATGCAATGGCCAACTTTTTAATATTTGGGCTTAGTTAAATCCTTCCTGAAGTATTGGCAAACATTAGCCCACTGGCCAAAGGCTTGTTCCATTATAACATGTTTAAGAAACCAGGAGGAAGGAAAAAGAAGACTATTCTAAGCTAATACCTTCCCTATGGGTCCTGGTGCCTCTGTCTGTCTTTTATACAATAAGCTATTCAATGCAGGGAACATGCCACTAAGCACACTGCTCCCTCTTAATGAATAACAATTAATGGTAGTAAATATAGGATGAAAAAAAAACGTACTAGAGAGGTCTCAAATGCACTATAGTAATGAAGGCAATGGCCATTAGCAGCCTGTTCCTGTGAGATGCTAAGAAAGCTCAGCAGTCTTATGCTGAGCTTCTTTGTACATGAGTAATG